TCTCGAATGGGGTGGATAGTAGCCGGTACAATACCAAATTCGTTCGTAAAAAGTCCTTTACAAAAGGAAAAACATTCAATTCACGCGTGTTTTGAATCAAGCTCACAAGAATCTCATCACACAAGCGAAGATACAGCGCCGTGTGTTTCGCTGTGTATCTCTTCGGGAAATTCGCAAGCTCTAGAAGACGTTATAGAAAAGTTCTGGTACTCAGAGGACATACCGAAAGGAAAGCAAAGTTTAAACTCAGATGAGTTAATGGCCGAGCAAATTTTTGTAGATAGCACGGTTATACTTCCGGACGAAAGATATCAAGTAGATATGCCGTTTCGGACTAACAACTATTTTGAACAGTTAGGAGATTCGCTAGCTATGGCTAGGAACCGTTTCTTCAATCTCGAGAAGAAACTGGGTAAAAATAAAGTTCACTTTGCCGAATATAAATCGGTTATAGAAGAATATTTACAACTAAATCACGCCAAAGTAATTCCATTGGAAAGATTTAATAATAATTTGAATAAATACTTTTTACCTCATTTCGCAGTGATTCGAGAAGAGAGTCTTTCGACTAAAGTTAGGATTGTTTTTGATGCAAGTGGGAAAACCACTACCGGTCTGTCACTTAATGATACCATGCTAAAAGGATATCAGGTGCAACCTAATTTGTACGATATCTTATTGAGATTTCGAACCTTCAAATTTGTCTTAGTAGGGGACGTTGAAAAAATGTTTAGGCAGATACAAATAAATCCAAATCACAGATTTTTGTTAAATATATTGTGGAGAAATAATGTCGGAGAGCAGCTGTCATGTATAGAGATGCAAAGATTAACTTTTGGCACGAACTGTGCTCCCTTCTTGGCTACGAGAGTACTGAAAGATATCGCAAATAAAAATAAAGATAATTATCCAATAGTGTCGCTCATGTTAACACAACAAACTTATATGGATGACATCATAGCTGGATGTGATACCATAGGGGAATTAAATAAACTAAATATTGACTTGAACACAGTGCTCAACAAATCTGGATTTACGTTACATAAAGTTGTTTCAAATTCAACCGAAATATCCAAAAATTATCAAAATCGTGCAAAAAATTCGGAATTACAAGATGTAGATTTATCAAAAGAACACTCCAATAAAGTTCTTGGTTTAAGATGGAATTTCGTTAGTGATTCCTTAAGCTTTGTCGTACCGGTAATTAACAAAACCGGGCCAATCACGAAAAGAAAAATTTTATCATTGGTTGCTCAATGTTTTGACCCACTGGGATTATTGACACCATTTATCGTTAGAGGAAAGATTTTGATACAAAAGCTTTGGTTGTTAAAGTTAGATTGGGATTCAGAAATTACCGAACCGCATTTATTAAAGATTTGGAAGGAGTTTTGCTCTGATTTTAGTGAATTGAAAAAAATAAGTATTCCTCGCTTAGTTTTTGTAGATAAAAATATTAGTCAAATAGAATTGCACGCGTTTTGTGACGCAAGTGAGACCGCATATGCGGCAGTAGTATATATGAGAACGATTTATAGCAATGAAACAGTTTCGTCAGTATTGATTACGTCAAAATCGCGAGTTGCACCTTTATCGAAAACGACGATTCCCAGGCTAAAATTATGTGCAATTAGTTTAGGTACGAAATTGGTTAGTTCTCTTCTAGATATTTTTAAAAATCGTGTTTTGATCAAAGAAAGCCATATCTGGTCGGATTCGGAGATAGCTTTATATTGGGTTAATTCCAGTTCGTCGAGATGGAATGTTTACGTTGGGAATCGGGTAGCGGCTATACAGTCAATAGGTAAGAATTTTCTTTGGCACCATGTGCGATCTAATTGGAATCCAGCAGACTTACCTAGTAGAGGTGTGGCAGTGAAAGAGCTATTGGGTGTTTCGCACATGTGGTGGCATGGCCCACCCTTTTTGTCATTAGTAAATATAAACTACGAACAGTTTAGAATAAACTTTAAGTTGCAATACATTCCCGAAGCGAAAAACTTCGTATTGTCAGCTATTCAATTAGATGATAGCATTTGGTTATTGGCTTCTGATCGATATTCCTCGTATAAAAAAACTCAACGCATTTTCGCATATGTTTTAAGATTTATAAAAAATTGTAGGCTTTCAAAAACGGGTTTAGATAAACTTACCGAGAATTTAACTCCTAGGGAAATAAATAACGCAACAGATCTTATAGTACGGGAGCTTCAACAAAAATATTTTAGTAAAGAAATTTCTGATTTAAAAGCAAATAAAATTTGTTCAAATAAAAACTTAGCGGCGTTGACACCTATGTACAATTTAGAAGATGGATTTTTACGTGTGGGTGGGCGATTGGAGAATGCTGAGGTTCCTTATGATCAAAAGCATCCTATTTTATTACCGGCTCACAACCGAATTGTTTCGCTTATGATAAAGGATATGCATATAAAATTAGGACATGCAGGAGCGCAAACCACTCTGTCAAATTTTCGGTTAAAATTTTGGCCTCTCAACGGTTTAAGAGAGGCGAAGTCAGTGATACATCGCTGTATGATTTGTTTTCGTTTTAAATGTCAACCAATAACACAAATCATGGCAGACTTGCCCAAGGATAGGGTCACTGTCTCTAGGCCCTTTAAAAAGGTAAGCATTGACTACGGTGGATATTTTTTAACAAAAAGCTCTAACCTAAGAAAAGCGCCAATTACAAAATCTTATATAGCTATTTTCGTTTGCTTGGTTACTCATGCTATCCACTTGGAAGTAGTTTCAAGTTTGACTACCGAAGATTTTCTTTTAGCGTTGAAACGCTTTACTGCTCGTAGAGGAAATCCTACCATTATCTATAGTGATAATGCAACCAATTTCTTTGGAGCACGGAATCAGCTTAAAGAACTTCATGAGTTTTTAATAAATAAGGAAGAAAACATTCATATAAAAAATTATTGTTTAGAAAATTTAATAGAATTCAAATTTTTACCACCAAAGGCTCCACACTGGGGAGGTTTACATGAGAGTGGGAATCACACCCCGGGACGGGGTGTGATTAAAATCAAGCGTTGGTGAAATTAATACAGTCCATTAGGGGTCATTCGGACGCCTCTTAGTTCATGATAATAAGGCATATAGCCCTCATTAATCAGATAGATTATTTTGAACAAGAAATAATTACTAGACGTTTTTACTATTAAGTCCTAAAAGAGGTAAATTTAAGATTTAGAATATATAATATTGTATTAAAATGCTTTCTTATGTAGTTTAGTGTGTTGCAGTAGTCTTAAAACTAAGTGTATTTACTGTTAATATAATAGTCTGTGGTTCAAGAACGAAAGAAGACCTGTGATTCCAGTTTTAACATGGCTCAGGACATTACTTGGTAGATATAAAAACATTTTGACATTTTATTAGAATTCTGAACTATTTCGTCATGGTATATAGTGTTTACTGACTTCATATTGCGGTACAAAATTGTGCTAAATTAATATTTGTATAAGGTCCATGCTTTTAGTATTAGCGTTTATTCAGAAATAAAATCTGTATTTAATATACTCAACTTTTTATTCTAATTTATATTAAAAAAGGATTAGACAAACTTACCACCCCGGGACGGGGTGTGATTAAAATCAAGCGTTGGTGAAATTAATACAGTCCATTAGGGGTCATTCGGACGCCTCTTAGTTCATGATAATAAGGCATATAGCCCTCATTAATCAGATAGATTATTTTGAACAAGAAATAATTACTAGACGTTTTTACTATTAAGTCCTAAAAGAGGTAAATTTAAGATTTAGAATATATAATTTTGTATTAAAATGCTTTCTTATGTAGTTTAGTGTGTTGCAGTAGTCTTAAAACTAAGTGTATTTACTGTTAATATAATAGTTTGACAAATAGTTGACATTTTAAAAATTCCTCACTTACTAACTACTCGGATGTTTTGGCAACGCTGTGGGGTTCTGACGTAACTCTTGAATAACGTGCAAGCATTTTTATATGAAAAATGCTATATATATATATATATATATATATATATATATATATATATATATATATATATATAGGGAAGAATGATCACAGCTGTCTAATTATTAATTAGTATAATGGTAAGGTTAATTGGGCTGCTAACCCAATTAACCTTACCATTATACTATATATATATATATATATATATATATATATATATATATATATATATATATATATATATAGATATATTCAGGGATTCTACAGTATGCACTGTCTTCCCTCGATCAACCGTTTCCATCGCTCTCTGTTGTCCCATTCTCCATCTTAGGCCTCTCTTACTAATAACATCGTCTACTTCGTTCCTCCAGGATCTTCGGGGTCGTAGTCTTTTCCTCCTTCCTATGGGGCTCCATTCGGTTATTCTCTTACATGTCCATGCCACTTTAGTATTTTTTGTTCTATATATGTTGGTATGTCTATTTCTATTTATGTTCTTTGCTTTATTTCTTCATTACTTCTCCTATCCATTTTTGTTACTCTGCAGCATCTTCGCAGGCATTTTATCTCTGTTGCTACTTCTTACTGCTGTTTTTCTTGTTTATAATCCAATTTTCAGCCCCATTTGTCATAATACTTTGCACTAATGTTTTATAAATCTGTGTTTTTGTCTTCATATTTAGGTGTCTATCCCATAATACTGAGTTAAGTTGTCGGATTGCTGTTCTTGTTTGTCCTAATCTTTGCGTAATTTCTTCCTCTGTTGTTGCCTTTTTCGTGATTATAAACCCCAAGTATTCGAATTTGTCCTTTCCTTTGATTGTTACTTTGTCATCAATCTGTAGTCTTCTATGTCTTCTTCTTTAGAATTTCACTTTAAGTCAATAATAATAAAAATCTCAAAAACAAAATTGAACAGTCAGAACTTTCCGTCTCCAACTCGTTAGTAGTGAATTCAACTGAGTATTGATGAAATAAACACACTATTTTTAAGCATTTTATATAAAGAAGTAATCAAGAGTCTATCAAATAATAAATATCACAAGACTTACCAACAAACGGTAATGAAGCATTCGGGTTTCCTGGTTTGTATAAAAAGTTATATTCTTTCCAGGGCCCATCAACGTTATCGGCCCCCTCAAACACAATTTCTCTTCGACCATTACCTGCGGGAAATTTGGTGAAGGGGCTGCTATAAGGATTAACGACATGTAACTTGTGTAACCTGTTGTAAATAGTACGAATGGTTGGATCTACAGTGGAATTTGAGACTGGGCGTAAAGATGCCAATGGTACCTGTAACATATTTCTTTAAATTATTTTTATCTATATAATACAATTTTGTAGATTTGTCTTTTATCTAATTATATTTGCTAAACCAAAATTAACAAAATTTGTTATAAAGAGATGTAGACGTTTTTCATATTTTATTTATAAAATAAATACTCACTGTGCTTGATAAGAAAATAGCAACAGCAATACTAGAGTAAAATACTGTTGACAGAATGGCTAATACTTTATTTCCGGAGCCATGGTTGTCAAAAAGAATTTGCGAGAGAGCATATAAAACTGTCACAGCCAAGGAAACCAATCCAAAATATATGGTATAAATAAGTGCTTGTCCAATATATTTCTCGAACTGTGCCTTTGTAAATCCTGAAATATATTAAAATATTACTATTTATAGTCCTACAGAAATAACTAAAATCGCTATATGGGCCAACTTGAATAATGACAGGCAAATATACATACACCAAGATATGTTACTGCATAGAATTATTTCTTTTTATTAACCTAACCTGCTCAAACTAAAATTTATATGTTTGCGAACTTTTGCAAAAGTGGTGGTTATTTAAAAAAGTTTGATTATCTGTAAATCTTATGATGTATGTTATGATGATGTCCCTTTACCAAATTTTCCGTATTTATATTACAACGTTACAATACTGCACAAAAGTAATGTGCTCTGTGAATTCAGAGAGGATGAAGCTTGTTAAATTGTTTGTTCGGCTTGTTGGTTGACAAGGAGCTTCTAGATTTGTTTTACGTTTTGAGCAGCAGGTTGAAATATGCAGATTGGAATAAGATTGAATCCATTTGCTACAAAAAAATGAAAAATGACATAAAAAACATAAGAAAGTAAAATCAAAACAAAACACAGAAAGGACAGTAGTCAACCTTTCAGATAAGGTTTTAACTGCAGCCGAAACATCATTGCTAGACAAATGAAGAAATTTTACGATTGCACCTAAAGTTATTTCTCTCTCCAATGGCGCTACAGCCCAAATCGGGCCTTGGCCTCCTCCAAACTATGCCTCCAACCTTGACGGTCCCGCGCTGATATTCTCCAGGTTCTTGTAGCGTTTACGCTACTGATTAATCAAGTGTCCAATTTAAAATCGTGGTCACTAAACCCCTCAAGAAATTTCTTTTGACCCGCCAGCGTTCGATTTTACATCGACCTTTCTCTACTCACGCGCTGGAGTGGCTTTGAAAGTGGGGACCGATGGATTTTGCAAAGGTGCCGGCAGTTATGGTCAAAACTCAGACGTGATAATACGCCAGTCAATCCAAGTGACGGAATTGGAACAAATAAAAATAATCTAGGAAGAATAAAATAATATTCAATTAAGTAATAATAATATCTCAGTAAATGTATAAAAATAATTAATTTAAAAAAAAAAAAAGCAAAATGATTTAAGAGTTCCAATTAAAAAAGGAAGTTTTTTTTGGCGTGTCACGTTCTCCAGTAAGTATATTATTTCATACTTATTACCTCTTTATCATCCACTAAAATTCATGGCAGTCATTGCAGTGTAGTATTTCCTAGAGATTTATTTTTAAGTTCCGAAATAATTTAAATATAAAATTTCCTTGATTTACTTGCCAAGAACAGAAGGTCATTTTTTTTTATATAGTCAAACTTAAATTCTGTTTTAGTCCACGTCGTTATCATTAAGTTTTTGGTTCAATTTTTATTTAACTTTTTTGGTGAAATATAATAGGTCCTACAATTATTGGACAGCCTTCTATATTTTTGCGCATGTTCATTTCCTGTCATGCCATGGAAATAACTTCATGAATTTTGACATGATGTTGACCTAACCTAATGTTTAATGTTGTGCTTTGGTAAAGTTGAATCCATGCTGCTACAGCTATTGAATCACATTTATTAAACTAATTAATCCTTTTAGATTCCGTCACTTAAATATTCAATATAAAATATATATATATATACTTCAAAGTATGGTTAGCAGGTTGCTTATGTGAATCCGTGGATTTTGCAGTAACCCCAAAATATGGGACTTGTCACCATGATGAACTAGTTTTGATGTGCCCAGCTGAGTTTGGAGGGACCTATTGTTATTAAAGATAAGTTGTTGTGACCATTTGCTATTGTATATTTAATTCACTGTGAGCTATTCATATGCATATGAGTGGTTAATATCTTTGATAATTTAATTAATATAAAATATTCGGGGAGAAAAAAGGACATTTTTTATAGGTTATTAGGTTAACTAAAGAATTTAGTGAGTCTGACCATAACTCATTTTCTTGGATTTCATGTTATAATACAATACATACTTTGATGTAATAATATTAAAATATTTTGGAGAGGGAAATAAATTTTATGTGGACTTTAAAATAAATAGATAAGGAGTATTGAAAACTCACTTTTAAGATAATTGTAACAGAGTTATCACTGTTGATACCTGTACAATACGTTGATTAGTTTATCAGTTTAGTAGAACTATTTAAATTTAGATTACTAACCTTAGTGTTAAGACTTCGGCTACCCTAACGGACTATTCTTGTTAATACTAATATTTACATTTTATTTGGCCAGTGGTAGTGACTATTTGCTTGTGGAGGGGCTATTAGGTCCCATTTTATCTTTATACCCACTACCACTGTATATTTAGCTTTGCATTATATGTAAATTGGTTATACACATGTATCTATATACATTCTTTTTATAAATATATTTGTTGTTACTATTTTGAGTTTTATTTCAGTTCTACTAACCAGTATATAACATAGCAAAACAAGATTATTATTTAGTTTTTTTTTGTATTTCAGGTTACTATCTCCAGATTTATTTGTTACTTCAAAATCTCAACTATCGTTGAGTTGGCGCCCTTCTTTTCTCTTCTTAGTGTTCTCTTTCTATAAATTTATTCCCAGTGACCTTCTTTAGTTATATCACGTTTGACATTGTCAGGTCTCATTTCGTTTCTTGTCTCATTAGCTCATTATCCTTGTTATCTGTTGTATCTTTAAAGCCGCAATCCAGTGCATCGAAGCTAGCCCGAACACTCACTTGAGATTTAGTGTCTCTTTGGCCGTTTAACTTTGTTCCTCTGAGCTTAGCCATATTTTTAATATTTTCCTTCCTTCTCTTTCAGTTCTTCTGAACTTTGTCAATTCACATATTTTATTCGTTTCAATTGGCTAGACCCAACGTGTGGCTTCTTTTCCACTTCTTCCTTTAAAAAAAATATATATCTCCTTAAACTTTTGGTTTTGATCTGGGGTTGTTGTGGTTTTCACTGGTTGTGCTTTTAGATTTTCATTTTAACGTTTAGTTTTATACTTCAATTCAATTTTTTTTTGGACATTACCTTATATCTATATCTTAAATTGACTTGTTTTGCTATATACTGTGTAGACTGAATAAATTGCTTTGTTTAGATTTGTTAAATAACTATTTTAGATTAATAATAAATTAATTAAAAATTTAAATAACTTAAAATTAACCATTTCACATATTTTTACAAGTCCGGAGTAGCCAATAAGTTGAGTCACTACTTCAAAATAACAATTTTGAAATTTTAGGTTCCTTAGGGTGTTGTAGCAGTATATTTCAGTGGATTTCATAGCTGGACCAAAGCAATTAAACATTACTGGTATAGGTATCCCTTCAGAATATTAATTTGAGGACAGAGAGTAAGTTAAACTTTACCTACTTTTACTCATTCTCTTGTATATTTCTGTTGTGTAATATGTCTGCGTTCAAGGTAGAGCATCTGTTAGCTCCTGAATTAGAGTATGAGTTGAGAGTCCGTCACTTAAACGATCCATCTTTGACAACGGTGGAAAGGAAAAGGGTAGTGTTGCGTGGTGCATTGAAGCAAACTTCATCCAATCGGAGTTTCGCTGTTCTGTCAGCTTCCCATCTTAATTTTAAGGATGAGATTGCTGAAATAGAGGTTACTCTTGCAGATCTGGTGGTCAAAATTAATTCTTTTGTTGGTTCTTCTAGTGATACTGCCTATGCTCGTTATACTTCTCGGTTAGGTCATGTTGCAGCTAGAATCCATCTGTTAGAAGCTACAACAGAGGAAGAGGAGGAAGTGAAGAGGTCTCTTAATTTCAGAGTTTTGATTCTGGAAGGTGAACTTGATTGTAAAGTGATTCCCCAGGCACAGTCAACTCCTCATAATGCTAGTGTTCCAGTCAACTCGTTTCCTTTTGTTAAGTCTGCTCCTATTCATAAATGGGGTGTGCATTTTTCAGGTCAAGATAATGAGAACGTTGTTAGTTTCTTAGAGAAGGTAGAATGTATGCGTATAGCTCGTGGTAACAGTGAGGAAGAGTGTTACTCTTCTGCTGCAGATTTATTTAAAGATTCAGCTTTTACTTGGTACCTCAATAACCGAGGTAGTTTTGCTTCTTGGCAAGAGTTAGTTGCCAAACTCAGATCAGATTTTCTTCCATATAACTATGAGGATAATCTCCTTGACGAAATCAAGTCTCGTAAACAAGCTCCACAGGAGAAAGTTACAATTTTTATTAATGAGATTGTTAGTATGTGTAAACGTCTGGAGACTCCTCTTTCTGAACCTCATATTGTCAGGATTATTAAGAAAAACTTGTTGCCATCGTACCATTCTAGTCTGGCACTTACAGATATTCCCTCGATTGCTGATCTTACAGAAAAGTGTAAGAAGTTAGAGGAAGTTTTGTCATGGTCTTCTGACAGCGTGTCTAGAGCCCCTATCCATCAGAATTTCAGAAATAATGACTCATCCTATTCTGGTAGGCCTAATTATTCTCGGTCTGGTAATGTCTCTTCTTTTAATTCGAAGCTTACCTGTTGGAATTGTCGTCAGTCAGGACATGGTTACTACGAATGTTCTGAACCTAGAATTCGGTTTTGTTATGGATGTGGACGTCAAGGTGTCCGCAAATTTGAATGCCAATTCTGTTCGGGAAACGACAGAAAGGTTGGCCCTGGCTCCTACTCCTCGTCAAAATACAGGGAATACAAACACTGTCCAAACTCCTCAAAACCAAGGAACCAGTTTCTCGAGTCTGGATGCCCAAGCTTCCACAAGCCAAACATCTCACCCTCCACCGAAAGACAAAAGACCACAGAACGGCAAATACCAACCGAAGAGAGGACAACGTTAGTTGAGCACGAGCACCGTAATTCTTCTGTAGTTTCTTCCTGTAATCCCTTGTCTTCGTTTGTTGATTTAGATATAAACTCATTGTTGGTTCGAAAAAACAAGGATAATCGTCCATATCTTGAAATATCTATCTTAGGACATTCTTGTTTAGCTTTACTGGACACAGGTTCCAATATCTCTATTTTAGGTTCTCTCGGTATGGAATTTCTCCAGAATTCCAATGTAAATATAGGAATAGATCAA